CTGCAAACATTCTGCTGCGGAGCTACGAGAAAATTTTTATTAAAAATCCATACAACTTTGAAATATGATTGACCTTATAGGGCTTTAATAATTTCTGTGCGGAAAGGGTACGCTTCAGACAATCCTCTGAAGCAATCTTTTCATGGCTCACTACTCTGTATTTTATTTTAAAGCCATTTCTATGACGCAGTAAGTCTAAAATGCTTAAAAAACGCCGTTGATTGCCCTAGAAAAGCGAAAATTTATTGTACAGTTCCCGAAGTCTTTGCTTTCTTCCTTTTTAAATGTACTGCTGGCTTCAAAAGGTTAATGATCACTACCAGTACTGGAAAGTTCCTGGGGAAAAAGGAAACAAAGGAGAGGCGGAAGAAGGCAAGGGGGGAGGAATGCCTGGTGATGAATGAAGGCACTTTCTGGAAATTATGTTGGAGACGAAATTTTCAGTATTTTCGGAAATACGTTTAAAAGATAGTTTTTTGTGTGATCAGTACAAAAATTCAGCAAAGTAGCAATAAATGACTCACGCGCATTAATGGAGCGGAGTGGTCATTCGTTTTTGCAAAAGCTTATCTGAAGCATTTAATGGGCGCACATTTTAGAACACATTAAACGTTATTTTTGCAAATTTTTATTCGTTCAATGCAGAATTTCTTTTTTCTGTTTTCGTAATAGTAGCCCAAAGTTGGAGCCGAGGTTCCGGAGCGACAGCGCTGTGAGGCTTAAAATTGGTTTCAGGGACATTCAGTTTAACAAACTTCGATTGTTTGATCGACTGCTTTTTGTAATATTTTTCTTTCGATAAGTAATGGGCAACTTCTCCAGCTGCTTTGTCCTGGTGGATCAGCTAGCTACATTTCTTATGCTTTTTTCGCTTTCTAAAGGAATTACCAGATCATCGGCTCACTGGGCAGAAAGCACTTTGGCAAGCTTTTAGCCGGTAATGTTCCGAGCATCATCAGAACATCTGGGGAGTTGGACCACGATGAGATATCCTACCCACTAAAACCTGAAATTTTGAGCTTATGGCCTGCCTGTTCCTGATTTATAGTACTAGTCAGGCTTCGGCTTGAATTCAGAGAAGCAGTGGAGGAAGGATGGTTTCAGATTTATGATTTCGATCTTACACAAGATCTATGCTGCTGAAATTTTATTGCATTGTTCGGATATCTGCACGCACACAGACAAAGAATGCTTATGTACATCAACACCATGTTTTTCAGCTGTGAAAGATTGCCTGAAAGAGGTATTAATGTCCATCAAACCTCTAAAAAAGGAAAACCTTGCCCACCGGTCTCATTCTTTTCTAGCTTAACTGATGCCTAGCTAGTGCAGTTGCAAACCCACCGATGAATCTGCAGATAAAGCAGGCTAGAAGTGTTGAGGTGATGAAGATGTAGTCCCAGTCGTGCTTCTTGGATACCGTAGACAAGCCGAGGAACACAAATATTATCGCCTCACAACTAAAATTCTTGAAAACAGTCTCAAAATTAAAACTTTCAAAAAAGTAGGCAAAGACAAACTCGTTTGCAGGGAAATCATGGCATTTGTTGGAGCGGTCGGCATAGTTGTTATTGTGATAAGCTAATGTGAGCTTACAAAAGCTCGAATGCAACGAATATGTTGTGGACATATTTCGTAATCTTTGCAAGAAAAGCATGAAAACGCCAGTTTTACAGCTTTTTTATGGCGAACCTTTGGTCTGAGTTTGCATTCAAAAACAGATTAATGAATTAGAGTGAGAAAATATTTAACTTCTGTTTCAGAAAACGAATCAACAAATTATGCATAAGACAAGCAGGAGTCAAGTTGATTACAAACTGAGATTATGTGATTACTGGACTTTTCCCGCTCACTTCGAAAACTTTTTACGAGGAAAATGGTCATTTTCTCTACCCCACAAAAATTTACAAC